AGGAGCAATTTCTGGTGGCAAAATACTTATTTTGGCTTCTGGTTCAAGGAATATAGCACGATATAGTGGAGAAGGGATGACAGCAGAACACCTCCTATTTGTGTATTGTAGAGTTGCTTGCTCATATTTCAGAAAATCAAAAAACAGGTAAGAGGCAATGCTGGAAGGCAGACTTCCCACTTTTCTAGAACCACATCCCTGGGGATGGTATCTGTTCACAGTCACAGTAGGTATTCATTCCCTCAGTTAATCCCTTCTGGAAAAACTCTTGTCTCATTAATTGTCTTATTAATCCAAGAAGATTGACAACTGAAACTACCCATCACAGAAGGACATGATTCTTTGTATTCACACAGGATGCAGTCTGCCTCTGTAGAAGAAAACAGCGTGTGGAACATTGAATACAGCAGAACTCTCAGACTCAGCCTAGGATAATTCTTAGAGAGGGAATTAGTTGCAAATCTTGTAAGGTAGCATTCCAGGTGGCAAAGGGATTAGCATTAAAGTTCTTAATGGAAGATGTGGGTGGCACACCAAAGTATCCATCCCACCTTTCTTTCTTTGCATTCCACCTCCCACCATTTACTTATTCCAACATCTTCACATAGTTTCATTCATTCCGGCCTTACTCTGCACTATAAAGCCTCTAACAGAGTTCAAAAGAATCATCCTCTCCTTTTTTGATTTTTGAATAAACACTTTATTAATGATTAAGGTAACAGGAAGTGAGGGAGCTAACCAGAAGGTATAAACTTGGAATGATGACACCTTCAGCTCTTAGCATGTCAATTTTACAAGCTTTCTTTTATACATATAATGTATGTTCTTTTATATGAGATCTGCCCATACTGCCCCTCCCCCCACTTCCCTGGGGGATTGTTTAGGATCTATCTCCAGGGAAGGCTTTGTACTCAACAACTAATCTAATTTCCAAGGACTAAGCAATATGTATTTAAAATGTCATTACAATTTTTGAAATACTCAATTTTTTGTAATATCAGTTAGCTTGGAGGATATGTTCAATGAAATGGGTCAGACAAAGAAAGGCATATACTGGACAGAGTTGTGTATGTGTTGAATTAAAAAATTGAACTAAAGAATTAAAGAGTAAGATGGTAATTGCTGGGGCTGGTGGTATGTGGGAATGAGGAGATACTGGTCAAAGGGTGTGCTGGTTAGATTTTTTGTCTTTTATTTTTTTTTTTTAATAATGACATCATAAACTAGAGTCATCTAGAAAGAGGGAGTATCTATTAGAAACAAGTTAAACAAAAGGAGACCACCACTCCAATCGAAGAGTCTGAATAAGGTAAACTTTAATCTGGATCCTAAGTGTACAGGAAGTACACTTGGCTTTTATTCTGTTTAGGTGGTCATGACTGTGTCTTTTTCCCTTTTGCTGGGATCTGACCTCCCAGCCTTTCGAGATTGTCTACTTTTAAGAGTCCACAAAGGAAATGAAGGAAAGGGATTGCTGCTCCAGATCATCAAGTTCCTGGAATGCAGTAAAAGCCTTTGTGCAAACAAAGGGTTTGCCACGTGGGGACAGATTAAAACATTTGCATAAAAGCCTTACAAGGTGGTAAATCAAAAGATTTGAATTCTTTATCAAAAACACAAGTTTTTGTAAAAAGTGTTTATAAAAAGATTAATATTTAGTGTTTCTTAAATGTCTTGAGGAATTCTGTGGGGTATTATTTTGATTAATGATTTATATGAGAGGTCCCAATCCACTCTGGGCAGTGCCACCCCAGGGCAAGTGAGCCTGAGTTGCTTTAAAAAGCAAGCAGGGGTGGGGATGGGGGATGGCTCAGCAGTGAAGGGCATTTGTTGCTCTTGAAGAGGATCTGGGTTCTAGTACAAGCATCCACATGGTGATTTCCAATTATCTGTAATTCCAATTACAGGGATCCAGTGGCTTCTTCTGACCTCCGTGGGCACAGTCCATCATGTACACCTACAAATATGTAGGCAAAACACTCACACATAAAATAAAATGAGGAAATTGTTTTAAAAATATTTGGTGTTATTGTTGCTGTTTTTAAAGCAAGCTGAGCAAGCCTTATAAAGCAGAAGTCCTCCACGGCCTCCTCTTTAGTTCCTGTCTTCAGGTTCCTGCTGGAGTTTCTGCTCTGACTTCCCTTCATGATGGACTGTGATTGGGTTGAGTAAGCCAAATAAACCTTTTCCTTTCTAAGTTGTGTTCAGTCACAGCAATAGGACACAAACTAGGACAAATGCTACAAACTTTCAGTCAGAAAATGAATGAATTCTGGGACCTAGTGCACAACATGGTGGCAGTCATTCACATTATATTGTATCCTTGATATATCCTTGCTACAGAGTACATCCTTTTAGGGTGTAGAAGAATTAATGCAGGGTCTTGTTGCATAGCCCAGGCTAGCTAGATCTCACTTACTGCCCAGGTTGGTCTCAAACACTGTCCTCCTGCTTCAGGCTCCTGAGGGCTAGAGTTTTACCTGGGCTAGACAGCAAAACTTTGTTCTAATAAATAAAATAAAATAAAATGGAATCAAGATAAGGAATATACCTGAATGATGATACTTTTTGGGGAAAGAGTGTATAACAGTTTCATTTGCTTTACTTTTAACTAATATGTTTTTGTTTCTAAGAAACTTAAAATTATAGTGAATTGGCTTAAACATCATTAAAATCAATGCAAAGAGATTGCCAATACAGAGAGTTCAGGAAAGGATTGTTTATTTATTTATTTAGAGGCATGCAGACATGTATAACCGTGAACTCTAGATTCTCTCATCTCTACCTAACAAGTACTAGGATTACAGATGTGCACCACTATGGTCATCTAATTATAAGAATTAAAACAAAATTATATCCAGATTCCTTAACTCAATTATGTAAAACAAATTTTGTACATATGTATGGTATTACAAGTGAGATACTGTTTAGTACAATATAAAGTGTGGTCCACAGTAGAAGACTATAACCAGGACTAGTCTGAGGAAGCACATTGAGTTTCTCAAATTTAGTTTTAATTGTATGTTCCTGCATTCATGGGCTGCGTGACATTGCCAGGTGAATGAATCTCTCTTCATTTTCTTATCTGTAAAATGGAGATAATAAAATGGATCACATGAAAAATCATTACAAAGTTTAAAAATACTTAAAGAATAGAGAAGGCATATAGATGCTTTGTAAATAGTAGAATACAAAACTTAATGCATTATTATGATTAATCATTAGTAATTTTTATCTTATGAAAACCTTAAATATACACCTGATATTGTTTATTGATGTATGTTTAAGCAAGTGTATATTTAACACGAAAGTGAAACAGACTGGCAATTGTACTATTCTAATTCATTATTCTATGACATTGAAAATGAGGTCACAGCACTGATGAAACAATGGATAAACTCTAGTGCAGTTTTAGAGCAGGGATATCTTTGTTCATGTTACAATACCGGGCTTCAGTGAATCCCCTTAGAGTATTCATTAACAAAACAGCCATTTGTTTTTGCCTACTTCAAGTTAGCGAGGTTTTAAATCCAGAGACCCTTTCATTTCCGTTATGTGCTTGGTGAAAAGATGTATGAGCTTTCAAAAGTGTGTGGGATTACACTCTACACTCGAGACTGTAATTTCATAGTGCAATGAAATTTATACAGTCTACACTATATTTGTAGATAGTAATATACAGACTTGGAAAGTGGGACACAGATGGGACTCACAAAGAGGAAAAAATGATTAATAACAACACTGAAGCAACAAATGAGTGCATGAAACATAAAAGACAGCTAGATCAAGGTTCACTTTCTGCCAAAGGCCTAGATATTCCCATTATCTGTTACTCATATTTCTGTAAATTTGTGTGTGTTGGTATAGGTAATGAAAATAGAAGGGGGAAACAGAAGTGGAAAAAGGAGGTTTTGTAAAGGGCAGGGGAGAGAATAATATATGACATCAAAGTAGAGAATGAACTACTGGGGGTGGAAGAGAAATAGGGGACGAGGGAGAGAGACATGTGGGGGAAGAATAAAGCATGTATGACAATGATATAATGAAATCTATCACGTTGATACAAACAAACAAATAAGCAAAACAAACTGTTGACTACTGTATTAGAATCTCAATGGTAAGTTATGAGAAGTTGCTTATTTTATTATTTTTGAGACTAGGGCTTGCTGTGTCCGGACTCCATGCCCTGTCACAACCGGCAAGTAAACAGGCTGGCTTCAAACTCTTGATCCTTTTGTGTCAGCTTCCATAGTACTGGAACTATAGATTTGTGACTTCCTGTCCAATCAAAACTCAGCACTTTAGTAAGCTCTACAATTGTTTTGATAACACACTTTTGAAAATTACTGTCTTAGATATTCTTAGTTATCTCTTTATGTTATCTATGCATTTTTTGAAAGGCATCTTTCTAAGTACTGTTTGGGAGAACGAAGTAACAGTATATAGAAAATGACAACAAAATTTCCATGGCAACGTGTGCAATGCAGGGCCCAACCAATACGTGTAAGAAAAACTTTAGTGGCCAAACACATTAAGGAAACTGCAGCTTGTATGTAACACAGTCTAGAAAGGCCAGGCTGTTCAGTAGCCTGCTAGGTATTCTTACTTCCTCCTTCTGTAACACAGATAAACTATTAGCTTCAAGAAGCAACTGCTTAAGTACAATTTCTTTGTCAAGTCAGAAAGTCTGAAAACATGTGCCTTCCGTGTATAACCCACAAGTACTTTCTCTCGGCTGTCTCAAAGTTGTGATTGCAGAAAGTCCTAGTGTTTTCCGGAGGACTCAGCAACTAGGAGCCCTCAAAAGAGTTAACAAGCCAGCGTGCTGCAGACTGGCAGGGAGACAGGCCAATAAGGTGTCTAAGCCGGCAGCACGTCTGGGGTGGGCGGGTATGGGACAAAGCTTGCAAAAGGACCGAGGAGGCCTAGGGGTGAGAGGGCAGCCAGGGTTAGAGATTTAGAGGAGGCCTGGGGGCCGAAGAAAGCACGTGTCAGCATCTCTTTCTTCCTGCTCTTTAACCTTTATACTTAAGGGTTGATAGCTGCGGGGACAACCCGGGGCCCGGTGTATGGCCACGGAGTTACAGCGTCCGGACTCCATGCCCTGCCACAACCGGCAAGTAAACTCTACTTCTACCCCAAGTCCCGAGCGTCTGCAAGCAGACGACCCGATCCTGGACCATGCAGAAGAAAATAATGCTGCTATGGCTAAGTTGACTCTCCTCCCCGGGCACGCCCATTCTAGCGTGCTCTCGGAGCGGGACCCTCAGGCCTGTTGTGGTACTAATCTTCACTCTGAGAACCACAGTGATAGTAGTGACAGTGGCGACTACGACGCACCTGTTGGCGACTCTCTGCTAGGGGAATGTGAACTCTCCCGACAGATCGGGGCACAGCTTAAGCTGCTGCCTATGAATGATCAGATCCGGGAGCTGCAGACTATCATCCAGGACAAGTAAGCCCATAACGGAAGTCGAAAAGGGAGTGGAGGGGCTGCAGGGTGAAAGTAAAAAAACCTGTGTTTGGATTTGGCAAACCGGTCTTTGGGGATTAGAACCAGGCCTCTTCCTTTGGAGTATGAGTAGGAGGGGAGTCAGCTAGATATACCTATAACCCTCTCTTAGTTCCTGTGGCTAGCATTGCTTTGTGTAGGAATGAAACCTTTCAGGTAGCCTTCAGCGTCTTCCGGCCTCTTTGTCTTTCTTAGGCAGAACCAGTCCTCAACTATGCCAGGCAGGTACACAACCTTATGCCATCTGCTCAGTTCCTGACCACGTGGAAAATAACCCAGAAATGGTTACAGCCTATGGTTATTACCACTTAATAGCCCAGGCTCACAGAAATAAAGCAATTTCAAGGAAAATGATATTGTCCTTCTCTGACCCTCTGACTCATAGCATTTGCTACTGCACTGTGCCATTTTGTTTACTGTTTGGGAGTTCAGGCATACTTGGTCTCCAGAAAGCTTATCATTCCATTCTTACCAAGCTTGTCTTACTGAAAACTCATAGGCTGTAGGTAGCTGCAAAGGCAGCCTAACAAATCTCTGGACCCTCTTAATCCCACAAATCAGTGTAGCAAGAACTTTGTGTTAAAATATTTTGGAATATGAGTTTTCTCAGATAAATGTTTACCACAATTACATACAGCTGCCATCCTTCTTCTCTTCCTTTCCCTTTCTTTTTCCTTCCCTTTTCTTTTTCGAGACTGGGTTTCCCTAAGTTGCTGTTCATACTCTGGCCTTAAGCTCCAAGGCACAAGCCAGCCTCCCAAGTGGGTGGAACTCCTGGACATGAGGCCATACCTGGCTCTTATTGGCAGCTTTAAATGAGGAGCTATAGCATATAAGACCACTGTCTTTCCAGCGTGCCTTGACATCTAAAAAAAATATCCTAACATAAATCAGATTTTAGCAACCTTTTCTTCATACTCCTGTAGTAGGCTCCTGTATTTCCTCAGGACAATTTTCCTGACTTGTTCACATGTGTGCACCTTTTAACATAGCAGCCTTGATTTGCTAACTGCCATCTCGGCAGCCTTCATTGGCTTATCAGAACCTACCAAAGTTGGGATGTTTGGCTTGTTTTTTGGTTCTGAGACATTCTTGTTTCAGTTTTCATTTGGAATTCCCTATATCCCTAATTATGGTCAGATCCTAGTTTTCAGGGCTAAACTCATTCCTTCTGGCTGATTTTTTTCCTGACCTTTTAAAAAAGGAAGACTTGTCTTCTATTTTAAATATTATTACTTGTGTATGGATCTTACCTTGTTTATTGGACTTTATTATGCTTTATGACAGAAATCATTTTACATTTTGAATTACAACCATTTCTCGACAGTAATAGATGCACAATCATTAAATATCGTTTTCCCAGTCTGGCCTCAAATATCCTCCTGCTTCAGCTTCCTGGGTGCTTGAGTTATGGGAGCACACTGCCATGCTTGGACCTAACACTCAAAATTACATTTATGAAACTGTACTATATGTTTATAAAGAATCAGTATTGAAAACTGTGATCATGTGATCTAATGACGTAGAGGCCTTTAAAACAATGAGGCATAAAGTTTGGTAATTGTTGGGACAATTGAAGAAAAACATCAGTGAAATAAAGAAAATTTGATGATTGTTGGAGTTAAGTAACTTTGGTTCTTGGACCTTATTACACATGTAGGTGAGTGTCAGGGCTCAGGAAATGTCTGGTAAATTTTATTTTTCCTTTGTAATGGTTGTTTTAAAAATAATATCTTAATTGAAGGACTGGAATTTAGCTCAGTGGCAGAACTCTCATTGTAGACACAAGACCTTGGATTTGATTGCAAGCATTGTAAATAAGAGAACATCTTTATTGAGGCACAATTCATATACAGTGCAATTTAAGCATTTGAAAGTATACAACTTAGTGGTTTTATGTATGTTCATGGTTGTGTATCATTACCTACCACAGTCATTTTTAGAAAATAGTCATGCCCCCAACAAGAGATCTCACAGGTCAGGCCACATTTCTCTAATAGCCCCTGAATCCCTAGGCAACAATTAGTTTATTTTAGATTTCCATTGGTTTGCCTATTCTGGACATTCCTTTTAATTTTTCTTTGTGTGTGTGGTATATGTGTGTGTTCATACATGTTTGTGTAGGTATAGGTATGCATGCATGTACATTTGTGTGTGGAGTATAGAGAGAGCTTGACATTAGAATCTTCATCACTACACATAACCTTATTTTTTGAAGGTCTTTTACTGAACCTGGAGCTCACTAATTCAGCAGGACTAGTTGGCCAGCAAACTCCAAAAATCCTTCCATCTCTGTTTTCCCAGTGTTAGGACTAGAGGCTTGCATCAACCCAGACTTATCCATGGGTGCTGTGGGATCTGAATTTAATCCCTTATGTCTGTGTGCAAGTACTTTACTAACCAAGCCATCTCCCTAGACCTTACATTTATTTATCTAATATAAGCACATAAATATTTTGCATATCAGTGGAGTAGTACATAATGGTTAAATCAGGTTAAATATGTTTCTTTCTCCAAGCACTATCAACCCTTTATGGTAAAAGTTTTCTAAATCTTTTATTCTTGCTTTTTGAAATGTGCAGTACATTATTATTATCTGTAGTCAGCCTACTATGTAACAACAAAACTTCTTGTTGACTAACTGGAACTCAGTACTTCTTGATCAACCTTTCTACCTTCTTTTCTTCCCCCTTTCTTCCATAGTCTGTGGTCAAATCCATTTTACTGTCAAATTCCCTGACTTCAAATATGAGTGAGAGCATGGGGTTCTTGCTATTTCGGATAGTTCAAATGAACGGAGTCATATACTATATGATGCTTATGTTGCTAGTTTCTTTTGGTTTAGTGTTTTCAGGGTTCATTCATTTTTATGTGGCTGAATGGTACTTAATTGTATAGAAATGCTGCAATTTATGCATTCAGTGGGTAATGAACATTTGGGTAGTTTCTACTCTTTGGTGATGGTGAATAAGGCTGCTGTGAACATTTGCTTGTATGCCTTTGTGCAGGGATGAGGAGCTTCAGTTTTTATGAAATTTCATAAAGGATTATGATGTAAAGGTTAAAAGCCATTAATACAGAGCTTGGAGAGTGTATGACATTCAACATTTATATATGATAATATCTATATGTCTTGACTCTATTTCATTATTTAGAAAAGCTTGGATTATATGGCAATTTGAGAGTAAGTGGAATCCTTTGTATTTTTCATCTGCGTTTGAAAGAGGAGACAGTAGAATCCCGTGAAGTAATCTTAGGCAAGATATTTAACATCTTTGTGTTTCTGCTTTATCATTTATAAAATGAAGATGTTGGTACAGCCTCATGGAGCTCCTGAGAGTCTAAAACAAGACACTGTGTATGAACACTGTTATAAGTTGTGGATTGCTGTGTATATTTACAGCATTTAAATTCTTCAAGCTGGAAATTATGCATGCTTTTTTCCTGACACAGTATAAGGGATTTGCTTGTACAGAGAATTCAAACTCTTATTTGAAAATCAATAGCAAAGCCAGATCTTGTGGCTCATGCTGATAATCCCAGCATTCAGGAGGCTCAGTGAGAAGGATTGCTGTGGTTGGAGGCTAGTCTGTGGTGATTAGTGAGGAGCAAGCCAGCCAAAGCTACCTAGTAAGACCTTTCTCAAAACAAACAAAAATACTGAGAAAGCCTACATAATTTGTATCCAGCTTTGACACAGTACAGAAAGACCTACTGTGATTTTTCCCTAATGAATTGGTGCTTATTCAGGCTGGAGAGTTGGAGACAGGGTTTTTTTTTTTTTTTAATTTTCTTCTGTTAACCAGCAATAATCTATAATCTGTTCACAGAAGCTTTCTCTGTTTGGCTGGCAGGCTGGCTGACTGTCTGTCTGTCTTGCCCTTATACAAACAAGGTCTGTTTCAGGTACCATAGGAGCTGACAGAGTGTCTGTTGTGAGCAGAGCATTATTCATGTAGGTCTAGCATGGAATGTGCAACCGGTTATCATAGTCTGTCCTCTTTGAAGCATATGCTTTACTCTGTTTGGATAGGACAGCATGTATATATATTATGGAGGTGTCTGATAATAGAAGCCTTTCGAGTACAGTTGTTTCTTTTATTGTTCCTGGTTCTTAGAATCTATCTAGTAAAGGGATTGCTTTATGAATTGACTCTGGCATGGAGAAATGGGGTGATCCAATAGGACTGCAAGTTGTTGTGTATCTATAAAGCAAGCAAGATTGAGGACATTGTACTGATTTAAAATGACTTTATTTTTTGAAGTATACAATGTTTGAGACATAATATGTTGGCTGTATTATTGAATTTCAAGGAAATGACTTTCTCTCTTTGAGAGTGCAGTAATCTAAACACCAAATGGAATGGATAATTTACTCAGCTACACATACATGGGTCATTGGCAAACGACGAAAAAGAAATGACTCCTTCATTTTTCTGTGGTTTCTTTTTTGTTGCTGTTGAGATGGATTAAACTATTCATTCTTCTCTTCCTGAATAATATACCCAGTAGAATCTGAGTGTAATGTCCTTTCCCCCTTGAACATGGTTCATGACCTCATACAGAAGGCAGTGAAGTGAATTGTAAAAATCATACTCCAGGTTCCAGTTGTTTGTTGGGTGTGGGAAGGGAGGGAAAGGGTAAGGAAGAGAAAGACAGAGAAAGAGAGAGAGAGAGAGAGAGAGAGAGAGAGAGAGAGAGAGAGAGAGAGAGAGATTTGTCTCCTGAAATATAGAGTAAATCTGTATTGTGAGCTGTTGAGTATATTCTGTCTGTATTCTCGTCCTGGGAGAGGCATTGGCATGGCTTCTGTAGGCTGCTTGGACGGAAGTTGAGCAATTATCTTTAAGAGTTTTTTTTTATTCCATAAAATGGCACCAAAGAACTACCTTCAGCCTTGTGACTAGTTTTTAGTCATCATGAGAGGAGACATTTAACCTCAG